TTCTTTCTCTTATCTTTCTTGAATTCCAGTTGCACCTATGTTAGATTGTTTAATATTTTCCCATAGCTCTTAGATGATTTTCTCTGTTTCTTCCCTTATTTTTCTGTTTATATTTCAATTTTGGTAATATTTTTTGAGTTATCTATAATTCCAGTAATCCTTTGTTTTTGCCACAATGAGCCTAATAATGAGTCCATTAAAGACCTTCTTAATATGTGTTACGTTATATAAAACAATTCTAGCATTTCTGTCTGAATCTTATAGCTTGCATCTTTTTGCTGGAATTCCTCAACTGCTGTTGCATGCTATCTATTTTTTCCTTTAAGGCTTTAATATGTTAATTATATTAAATTCCCTGCCTGATAGTTCCAGTATTTATATTATATCTGAGTATTATTATGATGATGATTTGTTGAGGTGGCATTTTGCTCTTGTTGCCCAGGCTGGAGTGCCCTGGCACGATCTCAGCTTGCCGCAACCTCTGCCTCCCAGGTTCAAGCGATTCTCCTGCCTCAGCCTCCTGAGTAACTGGGATTACAGGCATGCACTACCATGCCCACCTAATTTTTTGTATTTTTAGTAGAGATGGGATTTCTCCATGTTGATCAGGCTAGTCTCGAACTCCCGACCTCAGGTGATCCACCCGTCTTGGCCTCCCAACTGAGTATTATTTTTTAAATGATTATGTCTTGATATGATGTTGTTTTATTCTTGCTTCTTTGTGTGTCCTGTAATGTTGGGTTGCAATTCAGATGTTTTGTATGACAGTAGGGACTAAAAAATGTGTACACCTCTTTTGCTAGGCCGTAACAGTATGTGGGGAGGTTAAGAAAGTCTAGGCAGTAGTTGAGCTTGGTTTGGATTTTTAGTTATGGTTACCTTAGAAACTTTTTGAAACTTCCTTTTTTATTGAGGAATAATTTATGTACAGTAAATTTACCCCTTTTATTATATAGCTCTGTGAGTTTTGACAAAGGCGTGCTGTTGTGTAACCACCACCACAAGCAAGATACAGGACAATTCCATTACCTCCTGGATTTCCCCATGCCATTTTGTGGTCAGCCCTTTCTCCATCCCCAGTCCTTGGCAGTCAATGATCTTCTTTATGTTACTTACATGGAATTATACAATAGGAAGCCTTTTGAATTTGCTTCTTTTACTTAGCATAATGCATTTGGGATTTATCCATGTTATTGCATTTTTAGTAGTTTATTTTTATTGTGGAGTAGTATTCCATGATTTGAAAGTATTAACTGTATTTTGTTTATCCATTTATCAGTTGAAGGGATCTTTGAATTGTTTCCAGATTTTGGCATGGTTAAATTACTGTTTGACTTAGGATGTTTCTAACTATATTTACATATGAACTTGTTTTACTGTTTTTCTCTTGCTAATTTAATGTTTTTATCTTTATTATTTCCCTTTTTGTTCTATGTTTTATGCTTCAGTTATTGTTCCTAAAGGCAGTAAATGTGCTGGGATCTTTGTAAAGGAGACAGAATGAGGTACAGTGATTTCACCACTCAGGTATCTTTGAGTGTATGAAAAAAAAGAGAGAGGAAGTTGAATTTTACTTCCAGACTCACTGAGGCACAAGAGTGTATGTCCTTACACTATTTGATTGACATTGGCACCAGGATTTCCCATCGTGAACATTTTCTGATTCTTCATGCAATAATATTTCAATATTTGAGGAAGTAAGATGGCCATCTCCTAAGTTCAGTCTTTTATTTCTTTCTTGGTGCTACACACATAAAAGTACTCCTGGTTTATGGAACCATGCTAGAGCTGCAAAAAGAGCCATCTTCTCAACATCCCTATTTTATAGATTTTTTTTTTTAAATGCAGGCTTAGAGAGGAGAAGAAAATTGTTTGAGGGCTCCTGGTGGTTAAGTTCTGAAAGTTAGACTCTTCATTGTTTTGGAGAGTAGCGTCACAGGTTAGGTGAAGCCCTGACCCCTACACCTGGAGAATGTGAGAAGTTACACAGAGTATTCAGGAAAGAATTTGTTTCCTCTTCTCTTTAAGCAAATTAGGCCCAAGTGCATATTTTCTGAAGTGATCATCTTATTTGTCTTTTGATTTACCTCAGATTAGGACCTGATCTAAGATAATATGTGAGAGACTGGGATTCCTGTTCTTAAGAACTATATTTCATTTCATGGTGGCTAGAGAGCTTATTAAAATATTTATGTGTGTGAACTTTGGGGAGCCATAGCCTTTATTTATTTTCTCCTTAAATGATGATGTAATTTATGTGACAGAGAATTCTCTGCTTTCAAAAAAGGCAATTGAAGAGTATATATGACATGCATCTGTGTCTGCTTATGCTTTTCCCTGTGTCTGGAATACATGTCCTTATCTTTGCTTAGAGAGCTTTCACTCTTCCTTCAGGGTAAGTCACCTCATGCTTTACCCAACTGGATCACAAGTGTCCCCTTAGAAGTGGTTTTATAGCATACCTCTATCTTGATAATCATCACACTAAATTTTCAGGGCTGGTTTTCTTGTTTATCTCTTTAATTAGACTGAATTTCTTTAGGGTGATGCCCTCAAGCCTAACACATGTTGAATGTGGCTTTGGTGTAGCTTCAATCACTTGCTGGACTAACCACTGGGCCTGAAGCAACTGAAACAAAGTGTATGTCATGACACTTTTGTCGTAGACCTTGGATTGCCAATGGCTTCTGTTGCCTTAAAGGAAAAGCTTACGAAGTACTGTTGCTAACATTTCTTTCATCTTTTGAACTCTCCTGAACGAAGAATCTTGGGTGGGCTAGGTCAGTATATAGGTTGGAGACTGGGGGAGATGATTCATGTAAAGTCATAAAATATGTGTTGGCCCTTTCTCCTTTTATCTCTTCCCTTATAGCTCTGGCTTTTTCTAACTCACTTGGAGAGACATTTTAAGGTCTGCCTGCGTCAGACCCATTTATGATTTACGGCTCTGCCTTCTCAGCCACCCTGGGAAGAATATTAAAATATCACCCAAGGCTACATCAGCAGCCTATTACTATATTAAAGAGAAGGATATATTAAGAAATGCAAAGGCCTGCAACAGTCTCCAAGAATAGCTCTCTTAAGTAAACACGTCTAGCTTATACATTTTGACATCAGAGGCATCTTCTTGTAACAAAAGACTTACCAGTTAGTTTTCCTATGGAAACCTGAATAATTTAGTGATAGCTTTTGGAGGCCCCTATTTAAGTCTGTAGCAAATTTGGCCCTAAGAAAAATTTATCAAAATAGTTTGGTTTTCTAGACCAATGGTTCTCAAATTTCTTTAAGTATAATAATCTGGTCTCGGCCATTGGTGACTCTGGTTCAAGAGGCATAGGCTGGAATTTAGGAAATGACATCTTTAATAATAACCTCAAGTTTATTCTGATGTGAGTGGTCTGGGGTCCTGCTTTTGGTGAACACTTGCCCAGGACGTCTTGTTGTGTGCAGTCTTTTAGCAGAAGCTAATGATTGGCAGCTGTAGGTTAGGGTTCTGAGCAGGACACGATAGCGCATGAAGGATAAGGGTCACTGACCATTGTAGGTAGTCATGGAGTGAATTATTTGGTGGCCCTTTTGAAAAGGAACAATGGCCACCAGCACCCTGTGCTATCTCTGTCATGGCGATTTCCACTGTATTGTAGTTGCCTATTTGCTTGCACTTTTTTCCAATTAGACTGGAGAGCAGGGACCTTGTCTTTCCTCTCTATACTCATAGCACCTAGTACCATGCTCAGTGTTTGCAGAAGACTAAGTATGTAAGTGAATGAATAGAAAAATGAAAGAATGTGTTATAATTACTTACAAATGAAGACATATTTAAGGATTTCCAGCCTAAAAGTTTGACAAAGCTTGTTAAATATAGCCAACAGAGGAAGATGGTAATGTATGTGAAATATATTTTTAAATGTTGCATTGTTCTTTCCTACTAAATATGCAGGAGTTGGAGAGGTGCAGTGAATCCCACATGTGGCTGCACCTCATAGTCATCTAGGTGCCTTACTGTCTTATTAACTGAGTTTAAAAAGAAGTGAACAAATAATACGTACACTTGGCATAAAGTGAAAATTAAGTGTATTATTCCTCACTTCCATTGTACCTCCCTGGAAACAACCATTTCTATCAGTTTCTTGTGTAGCTCTCAGATATATTCGGAGACGTATGTGTCATGCCCTTTCTTACCTGAATGAGCCCAGTGTTATAAACTCTATGTGCATCTTTGTTTTTAACTTAACAATATATCTTAAAGATTATTCCCTTAACACATATAGATCTACCTCATTTACTACGGTGGCTACATGGTTTTCCGTTATATGGCATCTATTACGTATGTATGTAGGTAGTAATCCATTGTTGTTACAAGCAGTGTTGCAATGAAGATCAGTGAATGTATCTCTTTGAATACATGGACAAATGTATGTAGGATAAATTCTAGAAATTTAGTATTCCCAGGTCAAAGAGAATGTGCATTTCAAATTTTGCAAAATTGCTCCCCAAAGAGGCTGCATGGATTATATTCTACCAATAGTATGAATAGAAAGTACCTATTTCCCCACATTTTTGTGGGAAAAATTTTAAAAAATAAAGATTCTCAGACCATCACAATTCTATGGCTTCCCAAAACTTCTGGACAGTCCAGGGACCTGCTTGTTTTAAAGTATCTCCAGAAAGTGAGATGTTATCAATATTTAAATTTCACACTATTTCACATTTCTGTGATTCTGACTCAGAAGGTCCGTGGACCTGCCTTTGAAAACCACCAGGTTGGTGCACAGCACTCCGTATGCACCTACACTAGACACTGGCTTCCAGGTCCTGAAGCCCTTCCCCACTAATAAACAAACAGCTAAGAAGTGGGGAAGTAGTCTGGAATTGAAAAATAATGCTCTGGCACCTTTTGCTTGCAGATCTCCTTTTTCTGCCTTGCTGTGTTTTCCATTTTGGTCTTAAGTCTCTTTTCTTCTCAGATGAATCACTCAAAGGTCAACCTCTTCCCACAGGTTCACAAGAATGTACTTTAAACATGTACTCTTTGAGGACACATTCTTTGTGAGTGCTATTTTGAAGATGTAACATCAACTGATACCTACTTCAAAAATTGTACCATTGAATCAACCATCTTTTATAACACAGGTAGGTAAGAAGATGAACAGCCTGAATAGACTGTAACAAGAGACAACTAGTGTTGTCCAAGAATCAAAATGCTCAGGCATAAACTTCAGGAGGTAGGAAAGTATTCGTAGATACAAATGCCAAGCAGCGGTGGGAAATGGATTTTAGCCCCAGGCATGCTCACAAATTAGATGCACAGCCTTTGCTAAGGCATTTAATGTATCTGTGTCTCAGTTTTATCACAAATGAAATGGAAACAAAAGTTCTAGCCAAATATCCTCATCTCAGTGAGGCTGATCATACGAAGGGTCTTTGGTACGAACGAAGGATGACGTAAATAACAACTAGCATCCAGGAGGGCTGCATTTTATGCAGGGAATGCATGCATTCTTGAAGACCTTGCATAATTTGAAACTTGCAAATGCAAGACTCATGTTCTGCAATAATAAATGAAAGGGAAAATTACATCTGTTCACATTTTGTGCATAAAGTGAAATATGAAGACTATTTTAAAATCATACTATTCCAGATTCCTGTGATTTAAAAAGTCACAAAATTCTACCACTTCACCACTTCTTGTTACTTTTACTACCCTCATCATAAATTAATAACATACCAAGTGAAGTTGGGGTATAAGGAAACCAACTGAGCTTCATTAGGGGGCTTTACCTACATTGTCTCAATGGAGAAATGTACTATTTTTTATCCTTCTTTTACTTAGCTAAAGGAAGCCAAGTTAAATCAAGACTTAACCCAACTTGCTCAAGGCCATGGTTAGCAAGTGGAGAATTTGGATTCATTCCTCAATGATTGGCTCATACTCAATCTTTCACAGAGCTACTTGCATTATGTCCAGATCTATGCTTTATTTTTGGCATCAGCAGCAAGGGATAGTTTATATAAGAACATCTTTTTCCTCTATGATATCAGCCTCAAAAGCTTCAATATCTGGTCTCTAAATATTCTGGACTCTCTTAATAATTCATTCTGGCACTTACCTTCCTGGTTTCCTTTTAGACTGATCTTGGAACGATGATGACTTCCAGGATTTACTAAGTGTCATTAAAAAGCAGCATATCGTTTTATGATTTCCAGTTTGAATGATGCCTCCTCATTTGAATACTCTGATCATGGAGATTCTTTTAAACACATGTAGTCAGGAAATGTCAGAGCTGGGAGAAGCAGTGGAGATGATCAGGTGTACTCTTCCAATTTTGTAGATATTTTAGGTAGAGCCTCAGGGAGGTTAAAGAGGGTCAACAGCACGGCCAGTTCCTCAAAGCGCAGGTTTCTGGGAGCCTGTTTAGGACTTCCTCCGTCAGAACAGCTGATCTTAGAAGGTGTCAGAAGACTTACAAACTGGTTCCAATGCAAATGGCTTTTATTTTTGGGAGATGTTCAGGTTTTGGCACAGATTACAGCAGGGGCTCTGGAGTGACTGGCTCCATCTGGAACCAACTCTCTTGTGTTCTGCTTCCCTATACCAGGTAGCTTCCAAGGAGAGGCCACAGCTGTCATGGTCCTCAGTGTCTCAGTGTCACCTGATTAGTACAAACAGGACTGTTATCCAGCTGGAGAGTTGTTTTTTTTTTTTTTTTTAAGACAAGGTCTCCCTCTTTTGCCCAGGCTGGAGTGCAGTGGCATGCATGGCTCAATATAGCCTTGACCTCCTGGGCTCAAGTGATCCTCCTGCCTAAGGTGCCAGAGTATCTGGGACTACAGGCACATACCACCCCACCTAGCTAATTTAAAAGAAAAATTTATTTATTTGTTTATTTTTTGTAGAGATAAGATCTCACTATGTTGCCCAGGCTGGTCCTGAACTCCTGAGCTCGAGTGATCCTCCTACCTCAGCCTCCTAAAGTGCTTGTATTACAGATGTGAGCCACTACACCTGGCTGAGAGGATGCATTTTTAAGTCTCTCAGTGTTAGTTTAATTCCCTCTTGCTTTTAGGAACTTGAACAGGTCATTACATTTTTGAAAGTTTCTCTATTCATCCATACCTTGATGACCTGACCACATATTACCTTGACTTTGAGGCTGTCTGACCGGCAAAGGCTACCACAGCCTGCCTACAGGAGGGGGCAGACGTCATCCCTGCCTCTGCCTTTCTCTCTCCAGCTCCACTTGCCCTTGAACGAGGTTTCCTTACTCTCCCTAGACCTCTACGAGCATAAGTTCATCAACTGTCGGTTTATCAACTCCACCTTTCTGGAGGCAAGAAGGAGAGGCTGCCACATGGACTTGGAGCAAGATAATGACTTCCTGATTTACCTCGTCAGCTTCCTGGGCAGCCTGTCTGTCTTACCCGGAAGCTTATCATTTCTGCCCTGCTCATGGATAGAATCGGAAGGCTCAAGATGATTGGTGAGTTGTCAGCAGGGTCACTTCTGGGCTCCAGCACGCTGGGGTAGTGACTCAAGTGTATTAAAACAGGGCAATTTCCCTTTTATTAAGTAGTGTGCACAATAAACCCAGCAAGTAAGATTGCACATGGGGCTATAGAGCCAAGAGATGCGTGCTATAAAACTCCAGAGCTCCTTGGGAAGCGAGTCAAGACTCTTTGGTCTAGGCGAAGGATTTTTATTCATTTCCTGACAGAGAAATTCTGTGACAGTCATTTAATCTATTAGCACTTCAATAAGGGTAGTAATAATATTCACCCTGCCTCTTCATCAGATTATTGTCAAGAAAAATATATAAAATAGTCTGGATGATGGTTTGATATTTGAAGGAAGGTAAACTGTATTACTTTTATTATTTAAGAAACAATACCACTTTGGGCTTTGGAGTTGGACAGAGCCATGTTGAAGACCTCACCGAAAGGCTGTTTGACCTTGAATGTGTTCCTTTGCTTCTCTGGGCCTCAGTTTCCTTATTTATAAAACGATTTCCACATCTAGCTGGTAGGGTTTTGTGAAATTGAACATAAAGGTACCTGTAATACTTGGCACATTGTAGGTTCTCAAAAATGGTAGCTATATTCATGTATGCCTTGCCTCATTCCATCAGGACTTGCAGCAATTCTTTACAGAAACACATGCTATGAATGGTAAACAAGAAGCAAAATGTACACATTGAGGACCAGGGAAAATGTACATTAGAATATTAGTCAAAGCCAGGGGTGGGGAAGTGGACAACATGTTATTAATAAACATGCCATTAGGGACCTGCCTTGAGGAGGTCGTTGATTAGGAAAGTTATTACAAAGATTCCTAGCAGCAACATGCAAAAGGAAACAAAATAAATCATAAAGCCATTTTGTTGGAGAAGAGGGATTGATCAGGTCTTCATGGAAAGGAATTCTTTTCTGGCATTTAGCTCATACCCCAGATATCACTATTATAAATAGTAGCATGCATATTCAGCGTGGTGACATGAGGAAGTGCCTGTGACTTCAGCTTTTTAATCTCGTGGTGAGGGTGGAGTCATCTCTTAGGCACGGCAGACCTCATGCTCTCCTCTCTTAGAGGGAGTGCCTGGTTAGTCCTGAGGCCCTGTGGAGGAAGGGACAATGGCTTACTCATTTCCGTGACCCCTGTGTCCAGCGCAGTGCCTGCAGTAGAGCTGACACTCAGCAATGCCGCTGAACTGACCAGAACAGATGAAGATGGCCTCTTTCCTAGGTTAACCCCAAACACCAAGCTTTCAGCAGAAGACACTACAGGTTGTCATCTTAAAAAAAACTTTGGCTGGGAGTCAGGTGGCTCCGTCTCTGCCAAGATTAGCTTTATGTGTTGACCCAAGTCAACTTCTTTGAGCTTCCATTTCCATTGTTCAAATAATACCTCCTGTTGCCTCAGTAAGATAGGGGTATGAGAGCAGACATGTGACACTTCTGCCATTTGTCACCAGCCTTATGAGTCCCAGAGTTTACCAGTGGAGTCTCTGGTCTGTTCAGGAAGCAGCTGAGGAAGTTTTGGGGGAGGCAGGGTTATAAGGATGTGGTGGGTATCCACGTTGGCGAGAAACATCCCACACCTAACGACCTGCCATACGCTCCCTCGTGGAAGTGGAGAGGGGGGCGGTGTGGCTGGGCACAGGGGCAGGCGGAATGGTGAGACAGCAGATGTCCTTTCCCTCACTGCTGAAGCCCTTCTTATAGTGAATACATCACAGATAAAAACAATTCCTGTAATGCTAAATAAAGGCATGCTCTCCAATGAGAGATCTAGAACTAATATTTCATCATTCTTTATAACCTACTCTCTTGTGAATGTCTCTGTTTTGTTTCTGAGCTAGAGGCCAGCTTGTTAAGAGCTCAGACAGGGCCTTCTTTGTCTCTCTACCTTCTGTCTTAGTAAAGGCTGACGTGCAGTGGGTCGACTGTGATATTGGCAGTGCATGGTAAAGATAAGTGCTCAATTAATGCCTATTTCACTGGGATATGGGATGTGGGGAACCACTTTGAAATAGCCTATCCCCAGCCTCTCAGACCAACCCCACTAGAAAATCTGCAAGCACATTTTTGTTCTGCTTAATCTGCTGGGCTCTTGGTAGTGTGCAAGTCATTTCTTGTTATCAGTGGAGTAGAAGTTTTCCTGATTAGGCTGTTACCCACTCATTTGTTCATTCAGTAACATTTATTTATACAGTACTTATTCTCTCAAGGCTGGGTGGGAGGCAAATCAGTAATTGAAACAGACAACATCCCTGTGCTTATGGCGCAAATGATCTGTTGGGAGAGGCAGACTTCAACTAGAAATTTCATTTACCTCAACACTATGACATGCTTGTTATTGTGAATATTATTAATGTTGAACATGTGTTCAATACTAACGCATTGAACCCTCACGATAACCTTATGAGGTAGGCACTAATTTAATCAAGATTTTAGAGATGGGGACAGTGCGACATCACAGAAGGTGAAGCAACTCACTCATGGTCACACAGGTAGTACGTAAGCCGGCATTTGCACCCAGGCCTCCCAATTACAAGAGGAATAAGAACTATAGAAGTAGAGTACACTGGGCCCTGGGAACTGTCTTCAGGAACACCTAACAGAGTTGAAGGATCAGGAAAGGCCTCTGAGTATTTGCTGATTTGTTAGATGATCATGTTTTGTAGTTTATCAAGTGTTTGCCAGCATTTACTGTAAGCCAAGCCCGTGGCTGGCCCTCTGAGGATGTATGGATGTAGAGGGTATTGTCCACAGAGCACTTGGGGTCCTAGGCATGCCCAGTTTCCTGTTCTAGTTCTCTCTAGCTTCTGGGAAAAAGTTGCAGGCACCTGCTCACAGCCCTACCGCCTCCCAGAGTGGGCAGGATCCAGGTGGGCAGTTATCATTTCCTAGTTCATCAGCAAGGATTGGCACGAGTTTTGCAGCCCCAGGTCTGAGGGTGACACTCCGGGCTGAGGCCCATCCCTGGGGAGGCGTTTCTTACTGAGGCCAGGTTGGCCTCTGGCTTCTTGCCAACTGGAATGCCTTCCTCCGCAGAGATCCTGGTGCCTGTTGGGGCACTCGTGCCCTGTCTGTCCTATTGGTTGGTTGAGACCTGCTTCCTTCCCTTTCTGTTCACCCTATTTCCGCCTCATCGCCAGTCACTTTCCTGGGCACAAGCCTGTTTTGCCATGCATCACCTTGGACTTGGGCTTACTGCCAAGTTCCTCCAGCTGAACACTGGAGCTGGGCAGCATTTGACAGTCTTCTTTGGATGGGATCTCCTATTAGCTCTATAAGGGCTGTGCTGCTCATTTTCTGTTCACTCCCATCCCCACCCCAGAGATCTGAGCTGCACTTCTCACGCTGCTGGGAGCCCTGCGGCAGCTAACCTCATGGACTGCATACTTAGATTCTGGAGGGAAGGGATTCACCCCAGATAGTTCTATTAGGAAACCTTACTCATAGGGCTTTTAGAGGTGTGGGCAGGGTTGTGGAAACAAATAAAGGCAGGTGAGCACCCAGACACTAGCAAAAATGAGAAGCAGTTACCACCTCTATGGCTACGAGGACAAGGGGGCAGTTGCACTCACCAGGCTCCGTGGGGGCTGGAACCATGGAACAAGAGCTACCTGGGAGGAACTGGGGTCTTGGAGGGATGCAACCATTGCCAGAAAAGGCCTTCTACCCCAGAGAGGAGTTGGGAAGAGGTACTCGGCCACTTTCTCGTCCCAACTGATAAGAAGTCATAGGTTAGTGGGTAGAGGGTATTGTTCACAGAGCACATGTATAGAGTACAGAGTATAGAGTAGGGCTGAAAAGGGTGAGTCAGATCTCCTGGGGTGGGGATTCGGAGTAAATGCAGAATAGCACCGCCTTTAGGTTTCCTTCAGTAGCCCATCATGTACAGGTGTATTCTCACCAGGTTATAAGCTCCATGAGAATGGATTTTTTTAAATTATGTTTTTATTTTTATTGGATAAGTACAATTGTGTATTTTATAGGGTACAATGTGATATTTTGATGCATATATACGATGTGGAATGATTAAGTCAAGCTAATTAACATATCCATCACCACACATATATATGTTTTGTGGTGAGAATATTTGAAATTTACTCTCAGCAATTTTGAAATATACAATACATTGTTAGTAACCGTAGTCACCATGCTATGTAGAGATCTGGAAAAGTGAGATGATGCAGATGTTTGTGTGCCTGGCTTACCCCATGGACTGTATCTAGCATCCTGCCTTCCAGGTTCATCCATGTTGTCATAAATGGCAAAATTCCTTTCTCTTTTCTTTTCTTTTCCTACCTTCCCTCTCTCTCTCCCTTCCTTCATTCCTTCCTTCCTTCCTTCATGCCTTCCTTCCTTCCCTCCCTCCTTCTTTCCTTCTTTTCTCTTCTTTTTTGGACAGAGTCTTGCTCTGTCCACCAGGTTGAGTGCAGTGCGCCATCTCAGCTCACTGCAACCTCTGCCTCCCTGCTTCAAATAATTCTGGTGCCTCAGCCTCCCAAGTAGCTGGGATTACAGGTGTGCACCACCGAGAGTCTAGCCACTTTTTTTTTAATATACTTTAAGTTCTAGGGTACATGTGCATAACGTGCAGGTTTGTTACATATGTATACTTGTGCCATGTTGCTGTGCTGCACCCATCAACTTGTCAGCACCCATCAACTCGTCATTTACATCAGGTATAACTCCCAGTGCAATCCGTCCCCCTCCCCCCTCCCCATGATAGGCGGTGTGTGATGTTCCCCTTCCCGAGTCAAGTGATCTCATTGTTCAGTTCCCACCTATGAGTGAGAACATGCGGTGTTTGGTTTTCTGTTCTTGTGATAGTTTGCTAAGAATGATGGTTTCCAGCTGCATCCATGTCCTACAAAGGACATGAACTCATCCTTTTTTATGGCTGCATAGTATTCCATGGGTATATGTGCCACATTTTCTTAATCCAGTCTGTCACTGATGGACATTTGGGTTGATTCAAGTCTTTGCTATTGTGAATAGTGCACGAAGTAAACATGCATGTGCATGTGTCTTTATAGCAGCATGATTTCTAATCCTTTGAGTATATACCCAGCAATGGGATGGCTGGGTCATATGGTACATCTAGTTCTAGATCATGAGGAATCACCATACTGTTTTTTCCATAATGTTTGAACTAGTTTACAATCCACCAACAGTGTAAAAGTGTTCCTATTTCTCCACATCCTCTCCAGCACCTGTTGTTTCCTGACTTTTTAATGATCCTGGCCACTTTTTGTATTTTTCGTAGAGACAGGGTTTCACCATGTTGGTCAGGCTGGTCTCAAACTCCTGACCTCAAGTGATCCACCCACCTTGGCCTCCTGAAGTGCTGGGATTACAGGTGTGAGCCACTGCGACTACCAGAATTCCTTTCTTTTTAATGTCTGAATAGTATCCCATTATTGTCGTAAACCACATTTTCTTTATCCACTCATCTGTTGATGGCCACTTGAGTTGACTCATATTTTGACTATTGTGACTATTGTGAAGAGGCACAGATCTCTTTGACATCCTGGTTTCAAATCAAGTCTGAGGTTTTGTTTTTGTTTTTTGACTGATACTGATGTAGCTTAAGCACCTAGAACAATGTCGGGTACATAATAGATTCTCAACAAATGCCCCTATCTGCCCTGGCCTGTCATTCTGAGCTGGGCAGCACCTTAGTGTGGTGACTTCAGAAGCCTTCCTAAGTCTGGTGATCCGACCCACGCAGGGAGCTCTGTGCCATGGCTGGGGTGCCATGGGAGGGTTCCAGCTGTGCTGTCTCTGTGTGGAGGATGAACCTAATACTTCAGGCAGCCTTGGCCTGGAGTGTTGCCAGTGAGGGTGGGAGATGGGATGAGAACTGTGAGTGATAGCCGTGTGCAAGACACAGGCCTCATGTTTCTTTTTGACCTTGAACTCCCTCTGCAGGTGGCTCCATGTTAATCTCTGCAGTCTGCTGCTTCTTCCTGTTTTTGGCAACAGTGGAGTCTGCGATGATCGGCTGGCAGTGCTGTTTTCTGTGGGACAAGCATTGCGGCCTGGAATGCTCTGGATGTGATCACAGTGGAGCTGTATCCCACCAACCAGAGGTCAGTTCTTCCACAGGCTTTCCTCAGGGACTTGTTTGGGTGTCTTTGGTCAAGAAGTCTACCTGCTCCTGAATCTCATGCTGTGCATGGCCATCGTGGTCTTTTCTGCTGTTCCATGAAACAAAGCGTCTGTATGTTGAACTACTCCTGCATGGGGAAGGCATAGACCCTGAAAGTTGGCAGGCTAGGGCTTGATAAAGGGGTTGGAAGGATGGCAGAAGCAAGGATGGGAGCAGACTATGTCAGGAGAAGGATAAGAGTGAAAAGTTGACAAAACCATATGTGTCATGTAATCACAAGGAAGAACAGACCTGCCAATGGGAGATAAGGCAAAAAAGTGAAGAACTGGAATAGCACAGCAGCAGGGAGATAAATAAAGCTCAGGAGGCAGCATGAATTCCGGGAATCTGCAGAAGAATGTGGCAGGGAGGCCCAGGGAGTTACTTTTATTTTGCACAGGTCATATATAGAATAGGCCTGGTTTAAAGGCATAGGGTGAAAGTCATTACTTAGTAATTGTTTTTCTTCATGGAGGGGAATTGTGAATTTTAAGGAGAAGATAAAAGAGGCCCCATGTTCAAAAAGGGAATGAAATAGTAAGGAAGGTGGGTAAATGAAATTCTGCAAAAACCTTAGTGATATTTCCAAAATTGGCGACAGAGGTGTTGGGATATAGATAACTAAGGAAAGAGCACAGTGTGTCATGTTTGGAGCCCCTCATTTGAAGTCAAAGAACTGCTAAGTTTTACACGAAATAACAGGAGGACAAATGATTATTATTTGAATCTGATGTGATTTTACATCCTGAAAACCTAAGAGAATTAACTAATGAGACGACTAGAGAGAAAAAGACAATTTGGTCAGGTGGTCAGTAATAAAACTAAATTATGTATAGGTTTGAAAATATATTGAAAAAGTTAAAGATGCAATTCAAATCCATTTAATAACAGCAGACATCATAACATAATCAGGGATCAACCGACAAGTGAAACACTTAAATGAAGAAAACCATAAAGCTTTACTAAGAGATATTTTAAAAAGACACATAAGAGAAGATAAATATATGCCAGCTCAGTGACTTGGGAGGCTGAGGCAAAAGGATTGCTTGAAGGCAGGAGTTTGAGATCAGCCTGGGCAATATAGTGAGATCCCATCTCTACAAAATAGTTTAGAAAATTAGCCAGGCATAGTGGCATGTGCCTGTAGTCCTGACTACTCAGGAGGCTGAGGGGGAGAGCTGCTAGAACCCCACGGGTTTAAGGTTATAGTGAGCTAGGATCACAACACTGCACACCAGCCTGGGTGACAGAGACAGACCCTGTCTCAGAAAATGTATATATTTATGGATTATGTATTTATATATGATTATGATAATATATATAATTAATAGCACATAATTAGTGTATTTTTGTGTATATAAATAAATGTATATATAAGAGACAAGATATACTTAATTTTGGATAAAGAAGATTCAATCTTACAAAATGTCAGAATTGTATTTAGTTTTTCTAACATAAAGAGTTCATTCAAAATTCAACAAGTTTTTTCCCCCTGGGAACTTGAAAAAGTTTATTTTAAAAAGTACATATGTTAAAAGAATCAAGAAAATACAAAAACAAATATAAGACAAACAAGCGAAAAAGACTGGGTTGGTGATTATAAAGCTACAGTGTGGTACAGTTATAGACAAAAATGAAAGAAGAGTTTTAAGTACAAAAATATACCCACTTTCTTAATAAACTTGTGGTACGAGGAAGAAACATTTTTATTTCACTTGGGGAGAGAGTAGTGTTAGAATATTGCCTCTGCATACAGATAAGGGTCATGAAAGAATAAATGATTAGTAATAATTCTCACTGGAAAGTGGGATTGAAAGATCATAATTAGGATTAGGTTTTGCTGTGGCTGACAGAAACCTCAAATACATTGCTGTGGTCTTGAGAAAGGTTAAGCATTACATTTTTTCTTTCCTGAAAAAAGTCTAGACTGAATTGGTGCAGGGCTCTTTTCTATCTCATTGCTTTCATTGCATGGACTCACCATGGTCCAAAATGAAACCATCTGTGTTCCATCATGAAGCAGGGTAGAAGAAAGAATGAAGGGAACAGAGCAAAGGCCCACCCACAATGTCCCTTAATGAAGCTTCTTGGAAACTGCCGCCACTGTCACTTACATCCCATTGGCCAAAACTAAGTCACATGGCCATTCTCAGCAGCAAATGGAGTCACAGAAATGTAGTCCTACATTTGAAACGCTATTTAGAGCAACTGGCAGTCTCTGCTTCAGAGACAGTTGGAGTGTTGAAGGGGAACACTTACATTTTCTGCTTTGCATACTTCTTCGTCCTTTCAGGATTTCCATGATAAGCATGTCGTACCTGTAAAAATTTTTAAATAGATATCTTTGGAAAAAAACAAAAAAGAAAAACACTTGAAGAAAATACTTCAAAATGTTAACAGAGGTGATTGTCTCTCGGTGAAGACGTTAGATATCCATGCATCTTTATATTATTCTGTATTTCCAAATTTGACTACAATGAGAATGTGTTATTTTATATTTAGGAAAAAGAAATTCCTGTTACCCCTCTTCCCCTGCAATAAGGAAAAAGAAAGATTCAGTCCTGTTCATCTAATGAGGTTCAGAATGTCAGAATTATTTCCATTCTTCTTCTTTTACAGAGCAACAGCCTTCGGCACATTCTCAATGGATTATGCAAATTTGGCGCCATCACGGAAACACCATATTTGCTTCTTTTGTTGGGATAACCAAAGTGGTCCCCATCCTTCTGGCTGCTGCTTCTCTGGTTGAGGTAGCCTGATTGCCCTTCGACTGCCCAGAGACTCGAGAGCAGGTCTGATGTGAACCACCTATGGGAAAAGGAAGGTCAAAGAGAATCTTGCTTGTCAGGACACTAAAAATGTCCACACTTCCTGCCTATTACGGTCCAGAGGGCACCTCGGATAACACGCGAGGAGAAGTTGACTTTGTGACCCCTAGTTTAGGACCCACTTCAGCTGTCAATATGTTTGTAACTCAGGTGACTGTTTTGGGGGTGCCCTGAGCCACCCTTAGAATCACAGAGCTGCGTGTTTAACTTCCCAGGTCTTCCCAGTCCAAGGCAGGGAGAAAGTTCTCCAGTGAGCGCACATGCGATGCGAGGAGTAAGCCTTTCTCTAAGTCAGTGCAAGGACTTACTTGCATTTCAAAAGGAATTAGAGGGTAAGAAATACCCAAGCTCCTCCATAAAGCTCCTTGGAGCCCAACAACTTAACAAATCAACTTGGCTGGAAGTTAGAGTCATTATACGAAGATTGGGCTTGAAGTACAGGATACATATATTTTTGCATTTAAAAGTATCACCTATCATATTTTCCACTCAAATACTGGCATGGTAGCATTGAGAATACTCTGATCTGGAAAGCCAAATATTTGAGCAACATCTATAGAGATCTACTTTTCTCCTAAAATCTCCTAGGCTTTCCATGATAATTAGGTGATACATTTAAGAAGGATATTTATTTCTGTTTTGCTCTATTCAAAGAAATTGAATGGGTTAGGTATTCTGTAAACTAAGTTTGTATATAACTGTTGGGTTTAATTTCACATCTGGTATCTGCAAATATTGCCAGCATTTTAGCCATATTTTGGGAGAACTTGGTGTTTGAGGAGTCCCAGGAAATGAGTTCTGATCAAGCGAATGCAACACAATTTCTTACAGCCATTTAACTTTCTGCTGGGAGGATGTACTTAACAAACTCACGTTGTGCAGTCCGCTTAATCCAGGCACTTTGTTTGTGCAGTTGGAGTGAGTAGTTACTTCTCTCTCTTACAGATGACTTGGCAAACTCAAGCTGACCATCTTCAGTGCTGGCATTTTACTTTGCCACTCACCCCAAAACAACGTGAGATGTGTTCAGTGGCCTCTGGTACTCTTTCTGGCAAGAATCAAACAACATGGGGACTGAGGGAGGGATGGGGAAGTGTAGCCACAGTTCTTCCAAGTGTAAATACTTTTGTTTGTTCTAGCGGTAAATGCAAATGCAATCCATATTTGTTAGAATGGTCAGGTCTCATAAAGAAATCTATGCTATGTGTCCAGGGCTTTTGAAACAGAGTCCATTGGAGTGGGAGTTAGGGAGTGTAGTGGATGCCAAATATGTCTTTCTTCAGTGCTTAAGAGAACTCTTTCCTGAAATCCAATTTTGAACATAAACAGGGGTGTGGGTTGGGGGAGGAGCCTAGGACAAACCTCTCTGATGAAGGTCAGCAATAGACTGAAGTCTTGACTGCATGGAAGAGGAACAACATCAGAAGTGTCTGACAATGGAGGGGACAGTGAGCTATGCACAACCGCCAGTGGAGGTGAACTTGAACCTGCCCAGGCCGAATGAACATCAGCCTGCAAGAACTAGTTCTTTGAATTGATTTACAATGCTCTCAATGGCTATAAGTGCCCTGTCAGAGATCTCCAAAAATTTCCAAACAGAAGAATAATGCTGCATCAGTGTTTCTCAGTTTTGGAGAAATGCTTAGGTCCTATGATAGCTTCGGGACATCTTTCTGTAATTTTCCTCAATTAATGGATTGGTAGGGGTAAATCTTATGACACCTTTCCACCGTCGATTTGTGATCAGTTTTAATGGTTAAAATGTTTTACTCTGCTTCTTATCAACCCTCACCTTTTTATTTACACCCCTCCCTTTTTTTTTTTTTCTGTACAGGGAGAGAAGACATATCGACTCTGACTGGACACCCTGATTCCTCCAAATATATATACCACTGTGTATTAATCTTTCCCTCAGTGTTTTTTATAGGGAGTGCCTAACATAATGCTGTGTCAATAATGAAAGGCTTGATGTAATATAGTTGTAATTTACCTTCCATATGAATGCAGTGGTTAGGTTCATAAAG